CCACACACTCTTTCTACTGGAGAATTTTTGCATCTGCTGTCAAAGTCAAATCATAGAACCCAATCCGCCAAATTCCTCTCGCCATACTTCTTGAGTTAAAATTTCAAGTAACCTTTGTTACCATATGTTGGTGGCTCTCAGTGTGGTGCCCGGGCCAGCATCATTGGAAAGCTTGTTAGGGATGCAGATTCTCAGGCCTCTCTATAGACCTATTGAATCAGAAACTCCGGGAGTGGGCCTGGCGATCTGTCGGTTAACCAGACCCCAGGAGATCCTGGCACATTAGAACCACTGCATATGCTATAAAAATAATCATCTGATCTCTGACTTATTTCTGACTAGCTCTGTGAGAATGGCTGGGCTTCAGGTCACCTTTTGTTTTCCTTGACAACTCACTGGGCAGGTGCAGCTGAAATTTTTTTCCCTTCCTGCTCTCAAGATTTAATGTAAAGCTCTCTCCAAGTGGCCAGTTTGGGTTCCCTTCCCAGGAAGTGGATTAGGAGTCATGGAAGGGAAGCCACTCCTGAGCCGTGTGCTGGGTGTGGGCCAGAGCACATTCATTACCTCCACAGTGCTAATTTCTGCTCCTAATGCTGTCAGGAATTCCTCTTGGAAATTATGTACTTATATTTCACCACTCTCCTTTCCTTCGGTGGTATTTAATTCCAAATACAGGTTAGCAGGCAGAAGTGCTGGCAGGATCCAGCATTTGACATCCATCCACATCAAGTGTAACCTTATTACTTACTCCCCACCATCTCTCCAGCCTGCTTTGTAATGAGCCACCTGGGCACGACACATCTGTGAAGCTTCTAGTCACGCACCAAGCCGGTAACCCAATCTTGGGGCTTGAATGACTCTGAAACCCTTTCATATAATCCCTTTTCCTCCCCAAGTCCTACCTCCATCCTGCTGATAATATGATCTGAAGTTCACAAATCCAGCACTCAGAAACATTCATGATGTCAGAAATGAACCACTTGAGATTTTTCTGCTATTTCAATTAACCTCGAAATACATATAAATTATATAAACTTGTTCTGACAAGATGGGGAATGTTAGCATATACTAGGACCTTCCCCCAATCTTTCTTTACCTGGAAAATACTAGCACGGGTTATTTAAATCATGTAGTTATGCACTATTAAAAATGTGGTGTGTGTGTGTGTGTGTGTGCGTGTGCGCGCGTGCGCACGCGCAGTGTCTTAAGAAATGACGGATAACCCATAAAATGCTGGGGTCCAACAGCTGGCTGATGTTTATCATTAATATAGTTTTGTAGCTGAGCAGTGATGATGGTTTTGGCCAGCATTCATCTAGTGCTTACTTGGGATGGAGGAATTTATAGGCATTACTTCATCTAATCTTCTCAAGACTTCTATGAGAGAGGTTCGAATTTCCCAATTTATAGATGGCAAGATCAGGTAACTTGCCCATGTGTTTGCCTCTAGCTAGTGGTGGCGCTGGGACGAGAACCCATGCTGCAATTGACCAACCAGTCCATGAACTCAATAACCCCCATATGAGGCTGCCCCTGGGTGATATGGAGAGAGCATTTCATTCTTTTTCTCAGCTACCAAGCCTAACAAATTGTGTGTCTTGATGCCTCTATACAATAAGGATATAATGATCTTTTCTTTTCAAACTGAAAACAATTCTACTTAAATGAAGACCAGAGTAAAGCATGGGTTTAAGAAAGTTCTGCAGGAACTGAGGCTGACAGAGTGGATAAGAAGCATTCCTGGGAGGGGTCAGGGTCGAGTCAGAGTCAGGTCAAGTCAAGGTTGGCCTGGATAAAGTCCGTCATGGGCTGCACTGAGGGTGGGTGAATGATTTAACCAGGGGACAACTGAACACACACCAGGGTCCCAAACCAGCCTCTGACTTCCACCCCGTTGTCAATGGAGCACAAATGTCCAGGTCAGACATTTGTCTCCCGGTGGGTCAGTGCTCATGGTGCTAGAATGAGACCTCATCTTCAACATGGCGCCACTTGGCCATGGAGATGAGGAATTGTGGGAGGACAGAGGCACTGTTCCACGGCCAGTACTAAAATCCACTCATCCATTCAAGTAACTTACTAACCCTCTTAAGCTCTGGGAACTGCTGGTACTGGACAGAGAGCAGCACACCCAAGTCTTCCCTGCCCACTTGGCACATTGCAGGTGCTCTCAGATAGCTGCTGAATGAATGGTATATTGAAAAGGTCCTTGCCATTTTGGGGAAGAGAACAACAAAGAGAAGGAGGAACAATAAACAAAGGAATAAACAGAACCATACAGATTATTTAACAGGAGTGACAGAGGTGTCCTGCCCATACCTGGTACTTGGCCCAGGTGAATTCATTGTTTGGCCACAGTGGACACATCGGAGGTGTCAGAGGTTACAAGTTTGATCCCTGGATGGGCAGGCTTAGCTTTTTACCCAGAAAATTGTAGACCTGGGCCACAGACCACCTCTCACCTGTCCAGTCCCTGTAACTTGTGCCATTTCTCATTTGGGTCTGAGTGAGAGAGTGTGAGGGTCTCCCCCAGGCTCCTGGAGCCCGTCACTGGCAAGCTGGGGATCAAGAGTGAGTTGTCTTGGTATTTTCACAGGACAGCCTCCCTGCCAGTGCCTCTCCCTGTCCACCCCCCCCGACACTCTGAACATACATAGGTCTCCTGGGAAGCTTCCTTCATATTTGAACCTCTTGTCTCAGATGCCAAAGTCCTGAATTTTAATTTCTTTTCCAGCATGAGTCCAGATAATGTGAAGAACAAGCCAGAAAACTGACCAACCACAGGCCTTTCTCAACTTATGATGGGGTTATGTCCCAACAGATGATCGTAAGTGGAAAATATCCCAAGTTGAAAATGCATTTAATACACCGAACCTACCGAACATCATAGCTTAGCCTAGCCCACCTTAAACGTGCTCAGAATGCTTCTATTAACCCACGCTTGGGCAAAATCTAACACAAAGCCTATTTTATACTAAAGTCTTGAGTGTCTCCTGTCATGTATTGATTACTGTACTGAAAGTGAAGAACAGAATGGTTGTACAGGTACAGAATGGTTGAACATGTATTGGTTCTTTATCCTCATGATTGTGTGGCTGACCCAGAGCTGGGGCTCAGTGCGGCTGCCCGGCATCACCAGAGAGGATCATACCATGTATCACTAGCTGTGGAAAGGACCAAACCTCTAGCTGCATGTTTCACTTCCAGAGAAGCGAGCCACCATGGCATCCTCTGCATCCTGCCCTGAGCTGAAGTCCATTACAATGCCATCCACTGCCTTCTCTTGTCTCACTTCTGAACATCTATTTAAAGGTGCCCTGGTCAGAAAGGATTCTTTTTCATGCCATGGTAGAAGCAGGTTATACTATTTTTTTTTTTTTTAAATGGGAATGGTGTAGCAGGAAGCATGCAAGATTTAAAGTAGGAAAATTTAGCTGGAGTTCTGCTTGCTACGGTATGACCTTGGGTAAGTTACTTCTCAAAGTCTTCATCTGTAAAATGGGGTGACGACACCAACTTCCCAGCCCTTCCCTCTCTGCTCGCCTTACTGCTCACAGGCAGGAATGGAAGGGACCACTCCTACCCTGCTTTGGATTTCTGCCACCTCCATAATTTACCTCTTATCAAGAAGAACACAAGTTCTCAGTTTTAAGACCCTCTGCTTTCAGGTGTAAAATGTAGTGATTTGACAATTTTGTACATTACTCAGTGCTCACCAGGTACATGTCGCCACCATCTGTCACCACACGCCATTATGACAATATTATTGACTATATTCCTGTGCTGTACTTTTCATCTCCATGACTTATTTATTTTAAAACTGGAAGTTTGTAACTCTTAATCTCCTTTACCAATTTTACCCATCCCCCTCACCCCCCTCCCCTCTGGCAAAGACCAGTTTGTTCTTTGTATTTATGAGTCTATTTCTGTTTTATCATCTGTTTTCAAATGGGTATGGAGCTTCTTTTTCTTCTTTCTTTTTTTTTTTTTTGCAGTGATGAAAATGTTCTTCGATTGGGGTGATGGCTGCACCACTCCTCAAGTATTACTAAAATCTTGTGTGAATTATACCTCAATAAAGCTGTTAAAAAAAAAAGATTCTCTGCTTTTAAAATAAATTCATTTTCAGATATTCTTTTGAGATGGAGAGCATTTTCTCTGGGATTTATAGGAACAGACTGAATTGTCAGGAGGGAAGCAGAAGGACAAGTGAATAGAGTTTAAGCAGCAGCTGATGAGCTCACTGGACCCAGACACACTTCAGCCATCACACCTGATCCAGTTACACTCCAGGAACTGGCTCTTACGCTGGTACAGTTTGGGGGTTAAAATAACCAGGAAAAGCCTGGGTTTGGTAACACGTCGTACCACACCCATCACTAAAAGTTTGGGGAAAAAATGCTCATGCTTTGAGAATCATACAATTGCTGATGCTGAAAGTTCCCATCCAAGAGTAACATTCTCATCGGGCTGCCTTTCTTACTGGGACACAGGAATTTTCCAGTACAGTAGCCCTCCTGTTAATAGACTTGCCGGCTCTCACACTAGCTGGACAGTGTCGACTGGATGGTTTTCCTTAGTCTCACTTTGTTCATGACATCAGCATGTCCCTACGTGTTCAGGGTGGAGGACGTCTGCCGTTTCCACCTGCTTGCTGTTGTGTTCCTTCTTGGGTTTTCCTCCAGGTGTCTACACCACACCCCTGCAGAGCATGGGAGCCAAACCAGGCCAATCAGACCTCCTCTGGGAATCTGGATTCAAGTGGAGCAGCTCCTGGAGGGGAGGCAGCTGGTTCCAAGATGCCCTCTCCAAGACATGCTTCTCAGCATCTTGTCAATTTGGGGCACTATTCCATATCCTTTCTATATACTCTTATCTTTTTGGTACGTTTGTAGATTCAGTTCCGTTGCCTGGGACCAAACAACCTTGATGCACATGTTTCTTGACTCTAGCTTCACTAGAGACAAGGTCCAGTGCATTTGAGAAGCTGGTGGTCCCAGGTCGCCTCTGTTGCATCTCTATGGTATTGCCAGGGCTTCAGAGCAGGTGGGGGTCCTGTGGGGGCAGAAGCACCATTTGTAGCCACGTCATTAGCTAACTGGGTGGTCCCCTGCCTCCCACCATACTTGATCATCTCTTCAATGAGAGAAAGAGGTCTGAGTACAGAGTGTACTTTTCTGGTAGAGGCGTAGGGTCACCATGAGCGGGTCACCTTGCAGAGTGGTGGCAAGACATACACTCTTACCTTAAGAGAATCATGAACCCCCGTGGAAGGGGACACCAAAGCTGGGCTTGGAATGAAGGACACCATGTCATGTGCCATTGCTAATATCTGAACTGGCATTTGTGCCTTTGGCCAACAAGCAGCCTGAAGATATTTCAATTGTGAACCCTTTCCTTTGACATTTGAAGCTGTTCTCTAAGACGCTCTCAGGGAAGGTTCCAGACAGAATGGGGGAAAGGGCCAGATGTGACTTCACGCTGCATTGACTCCCTCCACTCATTCTCCATCCTGCTCCCTTGTGTGCCTAACACCTGCTTCCTATCTGTATTCCACCAGGATTAAAACCTCTCTCAGAAGAGGACTCCATAAACTCATTCCAATGCAGGAGGTTAAAAAAGTTAACATTTCTTCCCTCCCAGGGCAATGTCTTTGGCTTACCAAAGAAATCCTTCATTCCATTCCTTCCTCGACACAATGGCCCCTTAGCCTAACTGTGTAGGCATGCAAAGCTGGAAGGCTAGCTTCCTTGGGGTAGGGGAAGCTGGCATGCCTTCTAACTAACCCTCCGTTCTCAGGAAGCACAAGAATAATGCTGTATACCACAGGGAAACCCTAAGCACTTGAGATATTTGTAAAAAGATCAGTGATTAGTTTTCAAAAGTGCAATAAGGCTGAGCAAAGGCCAGGCTTGCAGGCACACAGCATCACTTTAGATGGTCGGAAATAACCTAAGTTCCATGACACCGTCTCTTACAGGTACCTCTTGGAAGGCTTAGGGTTCCAGCCTTTGTGGGGTCTTTCTAGAAAGGCTCAAGTGGTTTCTTAGGGAGGAATAGATGCGAAATGCCACTGGAAGGCAGTGTTTATTTAAACAGCTTAATACGAATGCTGGGGTATTTCCAGAACACACGCATTACTCGAGTCCAGCAAGAATGTCCTGTCTTTGTATGAAGGAGTCCTGACCAGAGCTTCTGTCAAGTTCTTTTTTTAAATTTTGACATCTTTACATTTTTTACATCTTCGTGTACAACATAATGATTCGATATTTGCTTACACTGCAAAATGTCCACGGCCGGAAGGTTAGCTAACATCTGTCACCATATGTGGTTATAGAATTGTTTTTCTTGTGATGGGAACTTTAAAGATTTACTCTCTTAGCAACTTTAAAACATGTGATACAGCATTATCAACTATAATAATAGTTATAATAACTCTAATAGCTATAATAATGTGCCATTCTGTGCACTATATCCCCAGGACTTATTTTATAACTGGAAGTGTGTACCTTTTGACTTCCCTTATGCATTTCACCCATCCTTCCATCCCCTGCCTCTAGCAAGCACCAATCTGATCTCCATATCTATGAACATGTTCTTTTTAGCATTTGTTCTTGTTTTAGATTCCACATGTAAATGAGATCATACAGCATTTGTCTTTCTCTGACTTATTTCACTTAACATAATGCCCTCAAGGTCCATCCATGTTGTTGCAAATGGCAAGATTTCATTCTTCTTTATGGCTGAATAATATTCCATTGTATATATATATTTTTTTTCTGTATTAATTTTATTTATCCATCTGTCAGTGGACACTTAGGTTGTTTACGTATCTTGGCTATTCTTAAGTAATGCTGCAATGAGCAATGAGGTGCATGTATCTTTTTGAGTTAGTGTTTTCATTTTCTTTGGACAAATACCTCGAAGTGAAATTGCTGGATCATATAGTATTTCTATTTTTAATTTTTTAGGAACCTCCCTATTATGTTTTGTAGTGGCTGAACCAATTTACATTCCCACCAACAGTACATGAAGGTCCCCTTTTCTCCACATACTCACCAACAGCTGTTATTTCTTGTCTTTTTGATAATAGCCATTCTAACAGGTGTGACGTGATATCTCATTGTGGTTTTGATTTGCATTTCCCTGATGATTAGTGGGTGTTGAACATCTTTTGAAGTGCCTGTTGGTCATGTTTGTCTTTGGAAAAATATCTACTCAGATCCTCTGCCCATTTTTTAAGGAGACTGCCTTTTTTGTGCTATTGAGTTGTAGGAGTTTTTTTATATATTTTGGATATTAACCCCTTATCAGAGATATGGTTTGCAAGTATCTTTGTCATTCAGTAGGTTGCCTTTTCTTTTCTTTTTTTTTGATGTAGTGATCCATGAGTCATTGTTTTCATATAACACCCAGTGCTCCATGCAGTGCATGCCCTCCTTAATACCCATCACTGGGCTAACCCATCCCCTTACCCCCCTACCCTCTAAAACCCTCAGTTTGTTTCTCAGAGTCCATAGTCTCTCATGGTTCATCTCTCCCTCTGATTCCCCCTCCTTCATTTTTCCTTTTCTTCTCCTAATGTCCTCCATGCTATTCTTTATGTTCCACAAATAATTGAAACCATATGATAATTGACTTTCTCTGCTTGACTTATTCCACTTAGCATAATCTCCTCCAGACCCATCCAGGCTGATGTAAAAGTTGGGTATTCATCCTTTCTGATGGCTGAGTAATATTCCATTGTATATGTGGACCACATCTTCTTTTTTTTATGGTTTCCTTCGCTGTGCAGAAGCTTTTCAGTTTGATGGTTCCACTTATTTATTTTTTCTTTTGTTGCCTTCGCTTTTGGTGTCAAATCCAAAAAATCATCACCAAGACTGATTGTATGGAGTTTACTTAGCCTATGTTTTTTTTTCTAGGAGACTTAATGGTTTCAGGTCTTATATTCAAGTCTTTACACCATTTTGAGTTCTTTTTTGTGTATGGTATAAGACTGTGGTCTAGTTTCATTCTTTTGCATGTGGCTGTCCAGTTTTCCCAACACCATTTATTGAAGAGACTCTCCTTTCCCCATTGTATATTCTTGGCTCCTTTGACCATATATGTGTGGGTTTACTTTTGGGCTGTCTATTCTGTTCCATTGATCTGTAGGTCTGTTTTTATGCTACCACACAGTTTTGATTACTATAGCTTTGTAATATGGTCTGAAAACAGGGAGTGTGATGTTTCATTCTTCCTTCTCAATATTGCTTTGGCTATTTGGGGTCTTTTGTGGTTCTAGACAAATTTTAGGCTTTTTTATTCTAGTTTTGTGAAAAATGCCACTGGAATTTTGATAGCAATTGCATTGAAACTGTAGATTGCTTTTGGTAGTATGACCATTTTAACAGTATTAATTCTTCCAATCTATTGGCATGGCCTATCTTTCCATTTATTTGTGTCTTCTTCAGTGTCATAGTTTTCAGTGTCTTTCATCTCCTTGGTTAAATTTATTCCTAGGTATTTATCATTTTGATGCAATTATAAATGGGATTATTTTTTTAAATTTTCTGATCGTTATTAGTGTATAGAAATGCAAGACCTTTGTATATTAATTTTGTATCCTGCAACTTTACTGAATTCATTTATTAGTTCAAACAGTTTTTTTGGTGGAGTCTTTAGGGTTTTCTGTGTATAGTATCACGTCATCTGCAAACAGTGACAGTTTTACTTCTTCCTTTATCATTTGGATGCCCTTTATTTATTTTTTTTTCTTGGCTAATTGCTCTGGCTAGGATTTCCAGTATTATGTTGAATAAAACTGGTGGGAGTGGGCATAATTTTCTTGTTCCTGATCTTAGAGGAAAAGCTTTCAGCTTTTTACCATGGAGTATGTCAAGTTCTATTTTAATTGTCTCAACAGTGTGTCAGGCTGCTCATTCTTACGATGTTTCTGCTTTAGGGTTCGGGGAGAAAGTGCCATGGGTGAGGAGAAAGGGAGGGACAGGGCTTTTCTCAGGGTAGTATTTGACTGACTTGGGTGAGCTGGGGGCCACCAGGAGAATGGGCAGGTCTGCATGGTCTAGAAGGACTGTTGAGGTAGGGATCCCTAGTCCCGGAGCCAGGCTTCCCTTTTCAGTTTTTTATGGAGCCCGTTTTCATCCTGTCCAGTACTAAGCTCTGTGAGGTAGGTAGGATGGGAGGTTATTAGGCCAATGTGAAATCCTTTGGCTCCTTAGAATACTTGGAACATGATAGTACATTGTATAGATACTAAAAAGAAATGACCAAGTAAATAAATAGAGTACCAAATGGTAGTTATTCCCTTCATGTTATGCATGCACAAACTGCTGCTCAGAGACACAGCTGGTCATCCCCAAATTCCCCTGCCAGTGAGAGGCATGGGAAACACCAGTATGTGGGGTGGGGTTCACTGCCTCCTGATTGAAAATGCTGCCTGCTTACTTGCATGGCTCCACTAATTTGATGTGAGGGGGTGGCTTTTATGTGAGGCCAAAAGAATGATGGCTGGCATGGAGAAAAGGACCTTCAGCCTCATTTGCCAGTGTGTTTGGGGAATGGCAGCTATGCTAGGCATACACCTTGCTAGAAAGCTCTCCAGAGGAAAGGCATGGAGGACACAGGGAGGCCTGGGAGATAGCCAAAGGGAAAGGTCAATTCAAACAGGACCCATGGGAGGGCGACTGAATGCACCCATCAAATTCTGTCCAAAGAATCCTGACAAGAGGCGCAGGGAGAGATCTGGCATTTTGTAGTGGGAGAGAATGGAGGAGATCAGTAGCCCATGCATGATAATGGTGGCCATTAAATTAAGATCTGGTGATGCTTGTTTAGGAGGACACACCTAAGACGTTCTAGCCAAGGCTCCTGACTGACCTGAGCTCCCTGTGTTCTGAGATACCTGGGCTCTAGGTTGGGACTGGCCTTCCAGCCTCTGTACTCATGGAAACCTGCTGGAGGCCTCTGCTTAGAGCTCAAAGAGCCTGAACTTTTTAAAATGTGCACTTCTTTATGTGTTTATTTATTTATTTATTTTTTAAGATTTTATT